AACGTAACTGTTCAGTTGATAATACTCCTATAGTTTACAGGAATCCTTTAGTTTATAGTTTACGTGGTAGAGCAAAGCTGCAGCTATATTTATAGTATAGTTGTAGCACGAATGGGTCGGCTCGACCGGGGAAGGACCACGCTCTCATAGAATACCAGCGTAAACTAGCAGCTTAATGCTGCTGTGTTTCGTATGATGAGTGTAGAGAATCGGATACCCTTTTTACTGGAAAAGAGGCATTTCATCTTAGTCCTCAAGGCTGGCAACGCATCTGCTTTTTGATTCGCAAACGAGGATAGATGTAGATGTATATGGGCCTCAGCAACCACTTTCCATCAGGTGGACTGTTCGTTTGTCACCCTATTTCTATAAAAAAAAGGAATGTATTAGATTTCAAAATTTTTAATGACTGAGATAACATTAAATTTTGTCAAGTCTTTTATCCTTTCAAATATTTATCTGTCTGTCAAATTTCCTTCATCTTAACTTTAATAAATTCGCTAACTTTTATCTTACTCCATTAACCATCAGTGTAATTAAATAAGCATTACAGTATTAAATTATAAAGAGGTAAGTTTATATTATGTACCTACTTAATATTGTATAAGCTTAAGTCCTCTTTATTGTTTATATTTCATTTACTAAATTCATAACTGAATTAGGTACTAAAGCGTTATACAAATGTAGAAAATTTAAATGTTATGTCCTACATTTACAAGTATAAAAAGTGTGTAAGTAATCTTATTTTATTTTGAACCTTTCAATTGATTGACACACAATTAGTGGCCTGGACATGTAGTTTCAGGACTGTTTCGGTGCGCGCTCCGTGGAGTGACGTTCCGAGCCGCGCATGTGAGCGCATTCAGAAGCGGCGGTTTGACGCGCGCACTAACAACATTACTAAACGTAGATTATTATTAAACGTATTTCAAGTTTCATTACGTCCGTTCAATCCACAAAACATAATACGAAGCTGTAACTCGTTTGTAGAAACGTAAAGTTTTAAACCCAGTTTCCTGTAGGTAATATAACTAATGCAAAAATTTATAATCATAACAATTTCACTAAATATAGATTTCATATAATAATAATAACAATTTATTTTCTCACCACTTAAAAAGAACAAAGTCGCGGGGTCGCGCTTTCAAGTGATTCTACTTTAGTGGTTGCTTTTTTATTTTTGCTTTTTTTTATTGTAATAATTTTATATATTTGATCCCTTTTTTAAACATCGTGAGTACATCTGCATGTCTGAGAAATGAGAAATCTAAAAAGAATATATTTTGAAGTTATACGACGTTAACACTCGTGCCAATATTTCTCGGGAAAACGTCGCCGAGTACCGGGACAAATTTGTGTCTGAAGTCAAGCCTTTGCTGAACAAAGTCTCGGATTGTGGGCGACTAAATCTAGTCCAGTTCAATCCCCAGAAGACACAAGTTTGCGCGTTTACCGCTAAAAAGAACCCCTTTTTCGTATCTCCTCAGTTTCATGGCACTCCCCTTGCTGCCTCTGCTAGCATCGGAATCCTCGGCGTTGACATATCGAATAGTGTGCAGTTTCGTGGTCATTTGGAAGGGAAGGCCAAATTGGCCTCTAAAAAGCTTGGCGTGCTCAGCAGAGCGAGACAGTATTTCATGCCGGCACATCGCTTGCAACTTTACAAAGCGCACATTCGGCCTCATATGGAATACTGTTCTCATCTCTGAGCAGGGGCACCCCAGTGCCAGCTCCTTCCACTTGACCGCATCCAGCGCAGAGCGGTTCGAATCATCGACGACCGAGTTCTTTCTGATCGGTTCGATACACTGGCACTGCGTAGGGATGTTGCATCCCTTTGCATTTTTTATCGAATTTACCACGGGGAGTGTTCCAGCCGCCAAATTTCACGAACGCATATCGCGTCAAAATTCACGATACCATCCTCACCATCTGGATACTTGGCGGTCCCCGACTGTACGTTTTACTACGAGTTTTCTTCCTCGTACAACTTCTCTGTGGAATTGTTTACCACCGGCGATTTTTCCGGACCGATACGACTTAGGAACCTTCAAGAAAAGAGCTTACACCTTTCTAACAGGTCGGCAACGCATCTGCAATTCCCCTGATGTTGCAGTTGTTTATGTACATTGGTAATCTTGTCAGTCGAGCACCGGTGCAATTTAGCTAGCCTTTTTTTATTCTACAAGATACATTTCGGAGAATATGCGCAGGAATTGCATGACTCAATTCCTCCCTCTTCCTTCCAACACCCTTGTTGTCGACGTACGAAATTGATAACAACAATGTTACTGTTCATATCGAATGACGTTCAGTTCCGCGGTCACCTGGAAAGGGAGGCAACGTTGGCCTCGGAAAAATTTGACACACCGCTTGCAATTTTACAAGGCGCAGGTTTTATTTGCTTTAAAATTAAACTTTTATGTTATAATTTCTGCCACACTTTTTTTATAGGATAAGGATGACAAACGAGCACACAGTCCACCTGATGGTAAGTGGTTGCTGCGGCCCATAGACATCTACATTTATCCTCTATTACAAATCAAAATGCAGATGCGTTGTCACCCGTGAGGACTAAGATCGAATGCCTCATTTCCAGTGAAAAGGGTCTCCGGTAACTTGTAATTGACAATTATCTTATTAAATAAATAATTTGCTCTGAAACATTTTTATTTTATATTTCATTTCATTTGAAGGTTGCACTTCTACCGCGTGTGAGTGAACCTGACACATGTTTTTTTTTATAGAATAAGAGTGACAAACGAGCACACAGTCTGCCCTTCTCCTGTATCAGTTTCTTTCTGTCGCCTCTTATCACACCCACGGCATGATATGATGTAGGAAATTCTTATACGCCGCCAATACATAGCGTAATTACTAACACCATACATAAAATGAATACAGTAAAAGGCAAGAAAAGGAAGACTCTCGGCAACGAACGATATTTTTAGAGTTCCGTACCTCAAAAGGAAAAACACTTATAGGATCACTTTGTTCTCCGTCTGTCTGTCTGTCAAGACCCTTTTTCTCAGGAACGCGTGGAGGTATCAAGCTGAAATTTATATCAAATACTCAAATCTACTGTCCCTTGGAGATGTGAAAAAATCAAACTTCTAAGCCAACACAATCAAAAGATACAGCCGTTTATGCCGCAAATTTTCGACATTCGCAAGGGAATCAAAACCTACAGGGTACTTCCCGTGAACTCAGAATCTTAAAATTTGGTACGAAGCAACGTATTATAGCACAGATAAAGGAAAAATTGAGAAACGCATAAATTTTTAGTTACATCATATAATAAACATATTTTTAATAATTTTATACTTATATACCTACGGATTTGTTCGGAACCCTCGATGCGCGAGTCCGACTCGCACTTGACTGGTTTTTTTTTTAATTGTACCGAAATGTAAAAGCCAGTTTGAAGAATGCAAAACAAACTTTGAAGGGTGTATAAATATTTTTATTGCAGTTTTGTGGCGTTGCGAGAGAGAGAGAATCCGATCTATTTCGTTCCATAGGCGTCGTAAGAGGTGACAATGGGATATTCCAGAAACCTCTTATGGCTGGCACCTGGCAAGCGTAACTATTAGGATGAACGTAGGCCAACCGCAAGAAAGACAACAAAAAACGGTGCTGCGCCATCTATTGACCTCCTGCATTTCTTACCAAGTAGCGTCAGTAGCCTAATGGCAGGGCGCGGACCGCGAACTCGAAAGGTCGTGGTTTCGAATCCGCCATTCGACTACTGTCGTGAACCACTTCTAAAACAAGCATTTTAAGCTTACCAGAAGTGGTTAAAGGGAATATTAGTAATGTTTAATAGCATTACTAGTATTTTATTAAAAAAAAAGTCACTCTATCCTTTTGAAGCAAATCTTGAAACAACCCGATATCGTAAATAATGGCACTATGCTTGGCAAGTGCATTGGCCACTGGGACCTATATATCTTGCTTACTTAATCATCATGATCACAGCCCTTCACAAGTCCACTGCTGAACATAGGCCAAGGAATGCCACAAAACACGGTCCTGAGCCACCTGCATCCATTGACTTCTTGCATGTCTTACAAGGTCGTCACACCATCTAGTGGGGGGACGCCCTACACTTCGTCCGCCGGTACGAGGCCGCCACTCGAGAACCTTTTCTCCCCATCGGTTGTCGGTTCTTCGAGCTATATGGCCGCCCCATTGCTACTTCAGCTTACTAATCCGTTGGGCTATGTCGGTCACTCTGGTTTTACTGCGGATATCCTCATTTCTAAGTTTATCACGCAGAGAAACTCCGAGCACAGCCCTCTCCATCGCTCGCTGAGCAACCTTGAGCTTCCTCATCCGGCCAGCAGTGAAGGACCACGTCTCAGTTCCATAGGTCTTCACTGGCAACACGCACTGGTTGTACAGTATAGTTTTTAAGTTTTGAGGTATACCTGACGAGAAGATGTGTCGTAATTTCCAGATACGCTGCCCAACCGAGTTGAATCCGTCTATTGACCTCTCGATCGAATGAACTTACCTAGTAGGACTATCATTGGCAAATCGAAGGTGTATTAATACCATATTGCAGCGGTGAAGAGTGGGGATATAACGGTCACTCTGTCTTACATCTCTCTCCAGTTGGATAGGTTTCGTACTCTGGTTATGGATACTCGGATAGCCATGGTAGTCCTACTGAAACACCTCAGCACTTCAAAATACCAACAGTCAACTTGGCACCACTTAAGTGAGAATCCCTGAGAACTAAGATAAAATGCTTCTGTACCAGTAAAAAGTCTCCGGTTCTCATTACTCATCATCTAAACAGCAGCACTATTTTGCTATTTTACATTAGTATTCTGTGAGAGTATGATTATTCCTCGGTCATTCCAACAGTTAACAAGCAATTCTTGAGAGAAATCTACGATCAAAATGACATGGGACAGTGTAAAGTCACTAGAGCTTCATTCAATATATAATTATACATGGAAGCAAACAATAAAGTAAAACCAAGTCTATTATTTAAAAAAAATATTTTATTTGTCTGTAATATAAAATTGCGGTTACCAACATAACAAACTATATCTGTTTATGTTTCTTGATCTTACGGGTACTGCTTATGCTCACAGGAGATTCATTTCGAATTATTTCTTCGTTTTCTTCGAGGAATTTATTCAAATTTTCAAAAATATCGCCAGACAAAATTTCCAATAAGTTATATTTGTAAATCTTTTTGTGAAACGCATAGAACTGAACAAATGTGGCTTCCATACCATAAGCAGATGGTTTGGCTTTAGAAGCAATCCGGAAATCAGATAACTCGCTTGTTCCATTTGAATAAATTACATAAAATGCATTATCTGAAAGGAACACAACCCCGTCTTCTAGTACAGGAGGCTTTATAAGTTTAACATATTTAGGATTTTCCGGCAGGCCCGTAATTTTCTTCACACTATTATCATTGACAACATACGCTTGCTTATCTTCAGTATAAAAATATAAATTGTTGGCCGTATCCAAAACTATTTCTTGAGCTCCTACTACGTCTTCAATTTTAACATTCTTTTGACCATTGTCAGTGACTTTATACAGTTCGTGATCTTTATTCAGGTAATAGATTACGTCAGTACCATTTTCTTTAGCAATTGCAATTATGTCATCAGTCACGGAGCCGTATTTGACTGCTGTGTTTGTTTTGTTATCGTAGATGTAAATACCGTCTTTAGCTCCGAAGAACACATCAGTGCTGTCATCGCTACTCGCAGCAGCGTCACGCCCATTTTCCAAAAGTTTTGTAGCCTTTCCATTCTTGTAAACGTATAATCCTTTGTCCATTCTATTACCAGCTGCGTCTACGTCAGCTTCAACGAAGAATAGTATAAGATTCTTAAAAAATTGCTCCATATTTTCTTCATCTTCAGTCATCTTGCTTTCATCAAAATTCAGAGAGTTCGTTGGTACAATGATGTTTACAACGTCATGTTTAGCGTTGTACATTATAAAATTTGTAAGATAAAATTCTTTAGTAAATGTAATTATTTCATCTTCATCATTTTCTTTAGAGACAGGGCCAGCGTTAATGGCACCAACCAAAAGGAGAACAATAAATAATTTCAAATGTTTCATTTTATATTCTGAAAAAATAAAAATCAGATATATAATAAATGATTTTTATCAGCCTTCAAAGTCTCCATCTGGACATATACTAAATAAGGAAATTTGTCATCGTCTCGTCGTTTAGCAGATTAGCGATTATAATACCTTACAAGCCTTTGATAATGCTTACGCTGCTTTGAGGATGCGACTTCTAGATTAGTGGAATAAAATTACAGCCTCTTAAACGTCCCACCGTTGGGCCCGGTCTCCTCTCACTTCTGAGAGGGTTATGTAGCAATTAGTCCGCTGCATTGCTTCAACACGCGATGGCGGATTTCATATGTCCATTGTTCCGACAAAATCCTAACTTTCCTAAAATTGCAATTAACGATTTCATCGGTGCCGGCGGGGTTTGACGTTAGATTGACAAGCGTATTTTGAAATTCACGGTAAGCGAGCTACTACGTCCCGTAACATACCAGTAATAATATTTCGGCTCACAAGATTTTTAAAGGAATTTCCTTTACTGACTCATAGTTGTATGATTACTGCAGCATAAATAGGTCGACTTAACTGACTAATGCGTTTTCTGGATGGTTAGTTACAGCAACCGTAGTTGTTGGTAATGAGGCGTTGCATCTATATCGCTAGGGGTAACTAAGCATATGTAATTTGATTCTTAATTGATGATATATAATATACTAGCTGTTCCCCGCGACTTCGCCTGCGCGTAATTTATTGCGATTGGTATTCATGAGTTTTAATTCTTTGTGCAGAACCCTAATTCCTTTTCTAAAATAAAAGTAGCCTAAGTTACTTCATATAATATCAGCTATCTGCCAGTGAAAGTCCGGTCAAAATCGGTGCAGCCGTTTCGGAGATTAGCCGGAACAAACAGGCAGACAGAAAGACAGACAGACAAAAATTTTAAAAATGGTGATTTTGTTATAAGTACTGTATATACTTTCATATGCATATAGTAAAAAGCTGTTATTTCGACATTACAAACACACACTTCAATTTTATTTATTTGTATAGATAGATACATATGTACCATAGCATCCACTTTCTATCAGACGAACCCTGTGTCCGTTTCCGTAACTTTTTTTTACACAAAAGCTACAAACGAATATAAAGTCCATCAGTGGCATCTGAATATATCCTCTACCCATGAGGACTAAGATAAAAATCCTCCTAGCAGTATTAAGCTACAATTTTACGCTGGTAATTTGTGAGAGTGTGGCCCTTCCTCGGTCAGACCATCCAAATCGTGCTGATGTTAAAGCTTTTCAAAATTCCACTGCTGAGCTTCCGCTCCTATAGATTAGTTCCTTTATTTATTTATTTATTATTAGTTGCATGTCACACGAAACTTAATTTCTTGTTCTTGTTGTTCTTACTTTTGCTATCGCACGGATGGGCGGGCTCGAAACCACGACCTCACAGAATACCAGCGGGAAGTAGAAGTTTACTTCTGCACTTCACCTAGTGAGTGCTGGTGGCCGGAGGCCCATTTCCCCCCATCAATATGATAGCGGAATTAAATGGAACACTACCCCAGGAGGGTACCAGCATCCCTGGAGAATCCCTCGCTGAGTATCCACGCTACCCTATTTTTTCTGAGCGTGGGTGCTCAGGCTGTAACGCGTATTCTGGGGGGGGGGGGGGGGGGGGTTAAATTCCGCTCAAGACGAAACCTGCTCGGGGCAAGCAGAGTAATAAGACAAAGACAACCCCTGCCACGCTTTCCGTGAATTCCTGCAATGAGACTTCAGTCAAATCTTAACGCCGTCCACTACCATCTGAAGATGGCAAAGCCGGCCTTACTCTGTCTAATCGAGACACAGGTGTAACTCTCCACCTGATACTTCGTACGTTCGTTTTCTGCTACCCGGGGTACAAATTATAACACTCGTTTGTGCCCCGGGATGGCGTTTGCGTTTCCAAATATTAGGAAAATAACCTTAAAAATATAGCCAATACTAAGTCTTTTATAAAGAAATTAAATTCATTCTGAACTGATAAAAGGTATAATATTTTCAACGAATTCTTTAAAGATGTGAATAAATAGTCTTAGATAAATGTATAATAATTATAGAAAATAATATGCTAGAAGTAATAATGCTAAGTAATATATTAGTTGGTATTTATTAATAGTCTAGATACTAACTAATTTTACGAGCGCGCTAGTGGTAACTAGTGTTGCCATGTACCAGGCATTAATTGTAGCGCACAATACTAACATAATATTTCATATATTTCATAAGTACTAACCTATACTTTTATGTTGTTAAAATAGTAGGTCGGTTTTTTCGAGAAACATTTTGGCCAGTCAAAGTATTTTGAAATTATACTTTTTTTAGGGCGCTTGGGAAAAATGATGAGAGTGAATTTTTACGATGAGCGCGCACACCGACAGCTAAAAACGATACCATGAAGTTGTTATGATGCGCGCGCACACTGTCACTTAAAAGCGACAACTTCAGTGGGTAATTGTCTCTCAAGTTTTTTTTTGTTTTGCTACGCTAATGAAGTATAACATCTTACGTGCGTACATAAGTACACACACGCACACACACACACACACACACACACACACACACACACACACACACACACACACACACACGCACACACACACACTTTTTTATAAGATACGGTGACAAACGAGCACACAGTCCACCTGATGGTAAGTGATTGCTGTGACCCATGGACATCTACATCTATCCTCAGTAAAGAATCAAAATGCAGATGCGTTGTCACCCGTGAGGACTAAAGGTGGCCACTCACGATACGTCTATTTGAAATACTTCTAATTGGAATACTTCCTAATGGGAGTACTACACTATAAAGGCACATTGACTATACTTCCATTTGGGCGTACGCGCCGTCACTTCGAATGTTGCACGGTGTTCAATTACACATACGGAACAAATAATACAATGGATTTTTAATGGTGGCAACAGCAGTGTGTATTTCGATAAAAAAAAAACAGAAAAAACTTAAGAGAAAATGAATGAAAGGGTTGTTAGAAAGTGTAATACAAACAACGGCAACATGTATTGCTGCATTTTTCTTTTCCTTGTCGTGATAATAAGTTTGCTTCACTTGCTATAAACATGGATGCGATTTATATTTTTCGATTACATTTAATACAAAGTCACGTGCAAACGTAGACATAATAACATATAATTCAATCTAGAGAATTTTGTTTAAACGTTTCATAGACTCAGCCACAGGACTCTTTTAATCCAGCACATGTACCACCGTCAATACCAGAGCACAAACAGACACAAAAATCACAAAAAATGGACGTGGTTTTGCCCATTCACAGCAAAGACGTATTAAAAAATGCAGACAGGTTACACACTAACATTGTATTTTAAAGTGGCGCAGGTAGTACTATATCTACGTACAGTGATTTATTATGACACGTTGCGCTAACAAAAAGAGACAAATGATACAGCATACCTATCGTTAGAAAAAGATGAATATACATCATTAGTTATATAGATATAGAATATACATCGTATTGATTGCTGCTGAGCGCTCATTGGTGCGAGCGCGTGTCATTCCGGTATGGAAATGAACACACTAGCTAGCGTCAAAGTTTACACTAGCGGTTAGTGTTGAAATAATAAAACCAATTATGAACAAAACATCTATATTCAAAATATTAATGAGACGTTTTTCTTGTCTCTAACAGTTGCCTTGTAATTTGTGCACCACCTAAGAACACAGGAAGGCATTTTTACCACGAATAACTAGAAGATTTACGCGTCGTAGCGAAGGTATAGCCGCGACGCGAGAGCGTGCCCGACTGAATGCGATTCGGGATATTAGCTGACTTTCGTATTGCCATTTTAGAGCAAGTATGACGTATCTATAGCTTAGATTCACAGACGATTCGGACGGCTTCCAAATGGCGTGGCGCGTTTTTGATATTGACAGTCGGTCGCGAAAGACGTCCATTTGGCTTGGATGCATGGATTTCAATTCGTTTGGCAATCCAAAATTGGACGACGTCTATTCAAATGCCATTTGAACCCCCAGATGTTTGTCACATTCACTAAACAATTTTGGAAGACGTCCACTCCATTTGGATTGATGGACTTATCGTCAATTGGCATCTTCAGATAGAATCTATCCTATGAGGCAATCTATGGGGGAGGCCTACGTTCAGAAGTGAACTTTAATAGGCTGTAATGGTAACGATATGCTTACATCCATCATGCAATAAAATAATTTAAATATGTACACTGAGAAGATTATTTCTTTAAATTTGTCACGGAACTTTCTAAACGTAAAAGAATTCTACGTTATTTAAAAATGCGAAATTAATGAAAATGAATTAATGAAATGTTCGAATCCTATTCAATTAACGTTCCGTGCCTATACTAGAATTATTTTGTCCGTGCAGTTTGGGTAATAAAACATCGAAGTATCTCCCACTCACGGGCCTTAGGGGCGAGCATAGTGATGCGTATTATTGTTGTCGATGAGCGTTATCGATAGTGTATTTAGTTTTGTCATTATGTGGGTTAGTGATAAAAATGAAAAAAAATAGATAAAACAACGTATATATTAAAATAAGAATAATAATGATTTAAAATAAATTATTAATTGGATATCTATAGGCAAAATATTAATTTGGATAAATTCTGCCGTTTTGATACAAAACAAAGGAGTAGCCATTGTGTCACTAAAGAAATTCAGAAATCGAATGCGCAAAAACAAATGACTCATAACATAACAATGTCGCACCAACCTTTGTATACCGCATCGCCGCCGTGTACCTGCCTTCGGTGATTCATTTGTTGTTATCGATAATAGCGTTGCGCCCGCGCAACATGCTCACTGCCCTAGCCGGGCTGAGGCCGAGCTATAATTTATGACCCCAACTGCACGGACAAAATAATTTTACTATAGTTACGATCCGTTTACACGGAGGAATAGGTATAAAAACCATTCGTATTAGACATTAACAAAAAACGCACGTAAGTTGTTAACCATTTTGTTTTATTTGTTTTATGTAGGTATTAAATTAACTCTTTGTATTACTATTTATGGAACGACTCGTTTTTTAAATATAAAAACCAGACAAATGAATTAACAGAACACTTTCACGTATTAACCACACTACTTCATATATTATTTATTTATTTATGCTTTATTTGCACACCAACTACAAAACGGTGGACTTAATGCTACAGGGCATTCTCTATCAGTCTGCCGTCAGGCTAAGCAGTAAAGATATTGTGGGTGCAAAGTGCAAACAGCTAAGTTAAAAATATCTATTATATATGTTGTATACATACTACATAATATCTCCACCACTACTACACACTTACATACATATTATGAACATAATTACACAAATATATTATATAGATTTACATACAACATTTATAAATATATATATATATATATATATATATATATATATATTTACTTAATACTACATACATATACAGGCTTATTTGCAAATGGTTAAGAAAAATTAATTAAAAAGAATCTCAAAGATCCTGTCTTTTTTACATTTTCAATTCAAAATGCGTGGTAATGCATTATTTTAACTGATTTTACTGCGCACGCATAAATTCGTAAGAATCGAGTCGATCGGTAGACAAAAATTTTGTTGCCCATAAATCACATTCAAATTGAGATAATTTCAAATAAAAGTAGAAGCCTTATTTACTCGTATTTTCAAAAACTGCAATAACGGTATTTCATTATTTATATATTTGATTTATATTTATCAGAGCCACGGTAGCTCAGATGGTTAGCGCTCGCTGCGAAACTTATTTCACAGTACGCGAGCAAGCTGTAAGTTTCACTGTACGCTAGCAACCCGACTTCGATCCCCGTCAGCACGTATGAAATAGTTAATTGCAATTTTAAATGCTGATTTATTTCGTGCTCGGCAGTGAAAGAAAACATCGTGGGAAAAATAATATTTCGAAGACATGTTAAGTGTGCCAACACGCATTATGGCGGCGCGGCGGACATTTTCTTGCTCTAAAACCCTCTTAGAAATGAGTGGAGGCCTCTGCCCAGCAGTGGGACGTATAGGCTATAACATTAACTTTAGCTTTACTTTTAAGTTTAAAATTTGGGTAATCTTTGAAAAAGAACCCTGTATATATACACGGTACATACATAATTAAATATAGCAATATTATAACAACTGCTAGGATCCAGTGACAGGGACAAGAGAACTCTCGTAACACTATCAAACTCAGAAACCACATAACATATTTTACAAATATTAGGTCGCGTTAAGATTCAAACCCGTGAATGTATAACAGAGTAGTGTTGAAACGATTGACAACTTACCTCGTTGAAATATATCTAGAGAATGATAATTTCGATCGAATTCGCAAATTAAATAAACGAGACGAGAAAAATAAATTATTATTTCGTTTAAAGCTCAGTGCAGACTACGATATACCTACTATTCTGCTATATGATATAGCACAATCCCTCATAAGTAAGGAATCAAAATTATATAGTTTAGCCAGTGTTTCTTATGTGAACGTGTACCGTTACAGCCTATTAAAGTCCACTGCTGAACATGGCCCTCCCCCATAAATTGCCTCATAGAGGCGATATTTGCCATAGTTGTGTTACTGTTGATTTGAAAATTTTATCTCTGTGGGTTATGTGCTCCTGGTAGATTATCTTCTATACATCCATCCATTACAGCCTATTAAAGTCCACTGCTGTACATAGGCCTCCCCCGTAGATAGGCTCATAGAGGATTTTTTGTCATAGTTGTAATGTTATTGTTCATTTAATAATTTTACCTCTCAGTGGGCCATGTGCTCCTGGTACATGATTTTCTATACATCCATCCATTAATCCATGGATGTAATCCATTACAGCCTATAGTCCACTGCTGAACACAGACCTCCCCCATAGATAGCCTCATAGAGGCGATATTTGCCATAGTTGTAATGTTACTGTTGATTTGAAAATTTCATCTCTCAGTGGGTTAAGTGCTCCTGGTAGATTATCTTCTACACATCCATCCGTTACAGCCTATTAAAGTCCACTGCTGTACATAGGCCTCCCCAATAGATAGGCTCATAGAGGATTTTTTGTCATAGTTGTAATGTTACTGTTGATTTAATAATTTTACCTCTCAGTGGGCCATGTGCTCCTGGTACATGATCTTCTATACATCCTTCCATCATCCATGGATGTAATCCATTACAGCCTATTAAAGTCCACTGCTGAACACAGACCTCCCCCATAGATAGCCTCATAGAGGCGATATTTGCCATAGTTGTAATGTTACTGTTGATTTGAAAATTTCATCTCTCAGTGGGTTATGTGCTCCTGGTAGATTATCTTCTACACATCCATCCGTTATAGCCTATTAAAGTCTACTGCTGAACATAGATAGGCCTGTCCCGTAGATAGGCTCATAGGGGTGATATTTGCCGTAGTTGCTATGCTTGGTAAGCGGGTTGGCAACTGTAGTTTTTTATTATTATTATTTTATTTTTATTACGTTATTAGAAAGACGCTGCTGCCCATCTCCAGATTTGTTTCCCTCTGTCGCCTCGTAAGAGGATGATAATATTGTTATGATATATAATATTTGTTATATGCTATATATTATAGTGTAGTCTGAACTGGGCTTAACTGCAACCCGCACGATATGTGATGTTAGGTGACCTTAGTGATACGCCTAACCTAATGGTATGTTTATGAAAACATGAAGTGCACGTGCATAAATAAATTGTTATTATATAATCGGAAAGATACAATTTTTTATTCAATAAATATTATAAATAATACAACTTATTGAAGGAAGTTTTTTTTTTGATTTCCTCCAGAGGTTACACCACCTCCAAAGGGACTGTATTGTCAAATTTCACAATTTTTGCTTAACGCTAGACACATTACTTAACAAATGCAATCACAAGCGAAGTGATACAGATTGGCTGCGATTTGATACAGGCAATGTATACTTTACTTATATGTAAATCAACTTAAACTTAACATTAAACAAAACAAAAGATGAACTAAAACATAGGTAACTAAAACTCCTTGAACTTAAAACACAGAAGGTAAAGAAAAACATAAGAAACCAAAATAACGTATCCATAGTTGACAACCTGTCTATAAAAATTTTAATTTATAATTTTACTATTTTACAATGACACTTTTTGCGTTAATTGTTTACAGTGGTCTCTAGACGCCACATTGAGATATTGTAACATTTGGTATATTATATAATAAAGAAAGGAAAGGCATGACATAATAATCTAAACGTTTAAATAATGATAAAGCAGAGGCATAAAGTAGTATTTACCAGCTATATGGTATCTAATTAATATTAAGTGAATCTTACCTCTAAATTAACTTTATCAATTATGCTAAATCTAATATATATATATATATATATATATATATATATATATATATATATATATTTAACAACATGCAGATACGTCAAATTTAAAATTTAGACTAGGTAGACATGAAATGAAGATAAAAAAATCCAGATAAATGTTAACTGTACAAATCAATATATTCCTATTTATTATTATTAAAGTAACATTTCATATTAAATGATATAGAAAGGAAAGGCATGAGGAAATAATCTAAACATTTGTGTTAATAATAGTAATAAAAAGAGGCTTAAAGTAGAACTTATCAGCTATATAATATCTAATGAGATTAATTGACAATATAAAGTGAAGCTTACTACTAAATTGATTTTATCAACGAAATTAGTAACATGTAAAGAAGTAATTTCAAGTACAGATTACAATAATTAATAAGAAGTGTGCCTTATAGCTATTCTAAATCTAATATATAAATTTAACAACATGCAGAGGTCTTATGCCAAATATAAACAATTTAGACAGGATGGACATGAAATGAGAGTAAAAGTGTAAAGTGTATAAATCAATATATTCGTCATTATTATTATTAAATCGTTTAAGCCTCGTTAATATATATTTAATTTAATGTATTGAATAAAACTATTTTTACGGATTTTATCGCGTTTAATTTACTTATTTTATATTCCCGACGTTTCGGTTGCTTTCCAGCAACCGTGGTCACGGGGGACTGAGGTGATTGACGTCCCGATGTCAAAGTTAACCCGGAGTACCTTCAGCTTTTTAATTATTAATTTTGGTCCGATCTACGCAGAATGAACTAACTGTGTCTTGAAGTCTTACAGTGGTATGCTTGGGTTTAGTTTTAATTTTATGAATTACAGGATCCCAAGCAGGTGGTAGTACCCAGCCTCCCTCTCTATTGAAATTAGGATGTTTTTTAATTTCAATAGCCTCACGTATCATCCTTGGCAGGAATCGATGTTCTTTCGCGAGGACTTGTGGTTTATCAAATCTAATGTAATGACGGGGGCCGTCTAGGATATGATCACAAACTGCAGACTTCCCGGAACGTTGGTGCTTCACGTCAGCTATGTGTTCTTTTACGCGGGTTTTTATTGATCGTTTTGTTTGCCCTATATATGAGAGACCACACTCACAATCAAGCTTGTATACTCCTGCATCTTGTAGAGGAATATTGCATTTGACGGATGGTAAGAACTGACTAATCTTTTCGGCGGCTTGAAGAATGTTCTAATAGAAGCTCGCTTCAAGATGTAGCCAATCTTGTCTGTGACACCTCTGACATATGGTAGTACAGCAGGCACACGCTCGACTGTGGCCGGCTTCAGTCGGTCACTGTGACGTAGGCGCGGAATCCGAAGCTTGTTGTCGTGCAGAACCTGCTTGACGTGCTGAAGCTCGGCGGCCAGGTGTTTGCTGTCACAGATCCCTCGTGCTCTCTGCAACAAAGATTTGCCCACGGTAGCTAACTGTGAAGGGTGATGGTGGGATTCACCGTTTAAGTATCGGTTTGTATGGGTCTTTTTTCTATACACAGTGTGACCTACGGTGTTATTAGGATTTCGAATGACTAACACATCTAGGAAAGTTAAAAAACACATTGTCGCCGATATTTTCATGGAGGACTTTGAGGAGAAAGCCCTGCTTACTGCACCAGTAACTCCAAGTTTCTACAAGCGGTACGTAGACGATACTTTCACAATTTTACCATCAGACAAAGTAACTGCATTTTTAGAACATCTTAATTCCATAAACTCTAAAATTCAATTTACTATGGAGTTAGAGGCAAATAATTCTTTAGCTTTCCTAGATGTGTTAGTCATTCGAAATCCTAATAACACCGTAGGTCACACTGTGTATAGAAAAAAGACCCATACAAACCGATACTTAAACGGTGAATCCCACCATCACCCTTCACAGTTAGCTACCGTGGGCAAATCTTTGTTGCAGAGAGCACGAGGGATCTGTGACAGCAAACACCTGGCCGCCGAGCTTCAGCACGTAAAGCAGGTTCTGCACGACAACAAGCTTCGGGTTCCGCGCCTACGTCACAGTGACCGAGTGAAGCCGGCCACAGTCGAGCGTGTGCCTGCTGTACTACCATATGTCAGAGGTGTCACAGACAAGATTGGCTACATCTTGAAGCGAGCTTCTATTAGAACATTCTTCAAGCCGCCGAAGAAGATTAGTCAGTTCTTACCATCCGTCAAGTGCAATATTCCTCTACAAGATGCAGGAGTATACAAGCTTGATTGTGAGTGTGGTCTCTCATATATAGGGCAAACAAAACGATCAATAAAAACCCGCGTAAAAGAACACATAGCTGACGTGAAGCACCAACGTTCCGGGAAGTCTGCAGTTTGTGATCATATCCTAGACGGCCCCCGTCATTACATTAGATTTGATAAACCACAAGTCCTCGCGAAAGAACATCGATTCCTGCCAAGGATGATACGTGAGGCTATTGAAATTAAAAAACATCCTAATTTCAATAGAGAGGGAGGCTGGGTACTACCACCTGCTTGGGATCCTGTAATTCATAAAATTAAAACTAAACCCAAGCATACCACTGTAAGACTTCAAGACACAGTTAGTTCATTCTGCGTAGATCGGACCAAAATTAATAATTAAAAAGCTGAAGGTACTCCGGGTTAACTTTGACATCGGGACGTCAATCACCTCAGTCCCCCGTGACCACGGTTGCTGGAAAGCAACCGAAACGTCGGGAATATAAAATAAGTAAATTAAACGCGATAAAATCCGTAAAAATAGTTTTATTCAATGTGTAGTGTTCGCGTAAATATAAGAAATCATTAATTTAATGTAAATAATAAATGAGTTCCAACTTGTCTCTTTTCTCATTAATTGAGTTATTATATGTATCTGCCCTGTTCAGCGCTCTCATAACAGGTCTGCCATAGAGCACGGTGTTTTTGGCGTATTAAGTGTCTTATATGTGTGATGGCAAGGTGTGTATAG